CTACGCAAATGGCTAGAGAGATTCAGAAAATTTATGATGATCCAAATTGCCCACTTAGCTAGCCAAAAGTTTTAATCGTGGATAAAGGAACCAAATATATGGGTGAGTGTAGGGATTTATTTCTCAGACATGGCGTGAGAATTCAGTATGCTAAATCTAAATGAAGTGTAGCTATCGTCGAGCGAGATCACTAAGAATTTGAAAAGCATGCCTTTTTTCGCCAAGATGCTATGGACTTACATTTACTATTGACTGATAGATCTAGGGAGTGGGTTGTTGGTCTTCACATTAACGATGATAAATATAATGATTCTCTACGAAGTTAATACACATATCACCCAATGAAGCTGTAAAAAAAATCATTAGAAGGTGAGAAAATCTTTGCAGATCCAGCTATCAAGCACAAAAGGCCCATAGGTTATAATGAACCCCTCCTATCATCTGATATTAAAGTTCGGCATTTATTAGAACTTGGTAAACTAGAAGGCTGGAGAAGGAGGGCTACTGATTGTAACTGGTCTCCTAAAATTTTTTCGATCGAATCATTTTCAAGAAAAAATAACCAACCAGTTCTCTACAAGCTACGTAACGGTCCAAAATGCCCATTCGTAAGAGAAGAACTTCAAATTGTAAAGGATGTGCATTTACCTCCTAGGTGGGTATTGGGAGAAAACCGAATGTATTCAAGGCACTCTTGATGAAAGTCGGCAGATCAACAACACAATAAGAAATTGTGATAAGAATTATACCTTCCTTAAAACAGAGTGCTCTCTTCTTCCAATCACGTTGAATTTGTACATCTAAATTAATTTGTCCTTGTGGATGGAAAAAAAGAACAATTTGATAATGCTGATTGCCATTGTATTCGAAGACCAAATATAATTTCTTATTATATCCATCAAGTTGTAAGCCTCCTAAAAATTTAGGTTTTCGAGATGGGAATTTTTTATGTAATAATTCTTCGAATATATATCGACATGATCTTTCAAATTTATGAGGACAACTATTGCATTACCTATAATTTCGTTTCATATCTCTATAGGATGCTTCCCATCGATGCTGATTTTTACAAACCTATAAATAAATATTAGGGTTTGATCTAACTTTAGCCAAGTATTGTCCTTCACGTCTTTTGGCATAGGTAAGGGCTTTAGTATTAATCTCATTATAATCTTGCATTTTTATAATATTAGAATTTAACTTGAATATTTTAGTTAATTATACCCTGGGAGTATCACTTTTTTTCAAACTTGAGAGAAAAAAGAAAAAAGAGCGTGAGAGCATGAATGAAGTCGCTTTCTTGGAATATAAACACAACTTCGAGGCTAAAATGAAGGTCCCTACTACTCCATACAAAAAAGAATTAAAAAATCGATCTTTAGCTCTTATCGAATATATATAACCTAGCTAAATAGTAATTGCTATGTCCAGCTAGTTATTCATCTCAGATAGGGGTTTTTTGTCATCTCTACAATTAATATAAGAAAAAATGGAAGAATAAGACTAAAGATAAACGCCAAATAATTCTGAATCAAAATCAGAATATTTTAAATTTACAGCAACAAAATTTTGCATTAGTAAATAATCAGCAAAATCAACTGATGGCATTACCTGTAGGATTTGCATAACCAGAATTTCATGGCAGTGATGAAGATCATGAAGATTTCGTAGATAGGTTCATATCATATATTACCTTGGCTAGAGTAAATAATGATGCAAATATTCTTACTATATTAGATCGATCCTTAAAAGGAGAAGCGAGAGAATGGTATTATAGAGAATTTGACAATAAAAATTGTGAGTTAGAAAATGTACTTGATAACTTTAGTATAGGTGCAACAATAGTACATATTCGTGGTGCTAATGCAGGAGGTATAATAGGTGCAGTCACTTCTTTCCCAAATATTCTACTTGGACTTACAGGTGCACAAATTATCCCTGCTCGAAATGTTGCTGAAGATTGGACAATAGCAGGAGGATGCCCAACTAATGCAGTACCAGTTGCACCAAATGCTGGAGGAGGTGTTCCTATTATTCTAGCAGGAATGTGATCTGGACAAAGGCTTTGGTGGATAAAAAAACATTATTCAACTGCTAATAAATATGTAAAGATGTTAGAAATTGGAGCATTAAGACAAGGCATATATGAGAGTGTATCTTCATTCTGGGCAAAAATTCAGAAATATGGTGATCAACTTGGTTATACTCCAGCACAGAAGAAAACCCATTTTTTATCTGGAGTTAGACCTGATATTAGAGATGAAATTTATAGAATTGGTCAAACAAAACCTATTAATGATATTATTGATAGTTTGGCAGAACTTGAATTACATTATGGAATATTACAACAGGCACCATCTCAACCTCACCATGCCTCCATTAACTCCTGAAGCAATCGAAAAAATAAGGGATGCTCATACAAAACAGATACCAAATAGAAAACGTATTATATATGCTAATTATAAAATTGGTAGTGAAAGATATGATAATATTGTAAATAGCCGGATATATCCTCGACCACCTGAAATAGAAATAACATCTATGAATTCATCTATCTCAATACCTCAATCAGAAATCTTGCCCATACATAGCTTATCAAGTGCCAGAAATCCTGAGCAAGTAATTTCTTTGAGCAAACCAGCGACAAAAAAGACTAGCAGAAAATCAGAATCAAAAACTATAAATCATTCTATCTCATCAATACCAGGGAGTGATGTGCAAGCTAGAATGGAAAATTTACGAGAATATAAAAAACAGTTTCAAGCTGAATCTTGAAATCGTATCAATTCCTTTTCAAGATATTCTGCATAATCAAGAGCTCTAATAAATTCCTTTTTAATAGTTGCTTTATTTTCTAGATTTTTTATACCTGATATGATTTGAATCTTGGAATAGAATTCTAGTCTGAGAGAGAAATCGATTTGTTTGTTAGAATCTACTATGTTTTTTTTTTTTAGATCTTCAGTGAATGAATCAGAGACTTGGGACTCCTTTTCTTTATTAGATGTTGGCTCCTCTTTAGTATCAATCTTGGTAGAAGAATCGAAAGTTTGATTTTTTGAATTATTATCCCGAATTACTGTTGTATAAAGGCTTGATAAAACATTATCCTTGATTGGCTTAGTAAAGGTTGGAATAATATAAGATTTTCCACGAACTATTATTCGAAATTCATGTTTGTTTGTATCTAGAATTCCTTGAACTTTTCGAATCTATGGCATTTCTAAACAAAGAAGATAATCGGGTTTTCCATCATTAATAACAACAACATGTCCTGTTTCAGTAACCCATTTATTTTTATATTTTATAGATATTGATATATCCTTATGTCCTCCTTCTAATTTCGTTATATGATCAGAATTATGTCTAAGGGAAAAATTTGGTGCCATCCCAAGATTCCATCCTAATACCTCATTTAGTGCTTTATTCATAACAAGACATCCCGATGCTGTATCGGCAAACCCATCCGGAATAATTATATCTTCAATTCTACACTGCATATATTCAAGTGATTCGGCCCATTTATTTTTTGTAGATGGGTCAATAATTTTTTTTCACATTGCTGGAGATAATAATTCTAATAACTGGTCATCTGATTCTGAAAAAGGGTTTGGCATAGTGATTTTTTCATTTTGTTTAGATTCTGTAACTAAAGATTTGCATGAAATTACTGATTTATTCTGTGATATCTTACTTATTGTTGGTGATATCCATTTTTTTTTCAAAATAGGATAGGGGCATGCTATTGATTATCTTCCTCATTATACCCACCTTCATCCTCCTCGCTATCATCTGAATTAGGAGGTGTGTATTAAGGATATATTGGCTTGAAAAATGTAAAATATGATTGAGTATAATTAGATTAGACCATAGGTTGATTGGGGCATTTGCCCTTGCTATAGCCTGTTTCTCCACAAATTCTACATTTCTTTATATACACTTTTTTCTGTAATTGGTCTGCTAACTGATTTATAGTATCTCGAGTTTCATTAAACCCTTCTTCTATTCTATCCATTCTGACAGATTGGTTAGATCTTTGTAGTTTTTTAAATAAGGCTTTTGCTTGCTTGAGATATTTAAGATAATCTGGATAGGTAAGTGGATCCATATTATTACCTTCTTGATCTACTATGTAAAATGCTTGCCAAGGTTTTTCTGATTTTATAGGGTAAAACTTGGGTAG